ATACTTAAAATGAATGTCCTTCAAACATTAAGATTGAGTCTTAGTATACGTGAAAATCCGATTCATAGCATCAAAAGTTTTTCAAAGAGTTTTTCACGCACTTCACATAATAAAATCAAATTACAATTGCAGAATTGCTAAAACGATAGAAAGTTAGCAATAAAAGTTTATCTTGTTATTATTTACGAATTGTGACTGTTCGGCAGACGAGAAATTAGCTCTTATTTCATTAGTTATTTAATTTTTATTTTCTAAAATGGTTCTCAATTTGATAAAAAATGTATAATAGCACCAAGTTCTCAATAAGAAACGGAACTACTGTCTACAAATACACGGCTTTATGATATTTTTTTGTTGAAAAAGAGGAGATACAAAGCTAAAACATCTCAAGTCAAAATGTTTTATGGTTTTCCATTGTTGGACCAACATAATCATGATGGCAGCCATCAAGTAATTCCATAATATGCCATCCTATTTTTTTGATGGTAACCAACACGTGACCATCACCCCAATGTAGGAATTGTTATTCAATGTAGTTATCATTCTTATGTTCAGCGTAAGAATAACAACTTGTTTTGATGGTTTATTCATGTTGGACCCTCAAGAATTTCCCTCATGCCACTGTGGAAATCAATTGTTGGAATAATCAGGAATGAATGGAAATTCGGAATGATTCATAATGGACCAACATATACAAAGTAACTTGTTCTGATGGTCTGTCTCTGCATTAACACGAATTTCCAGTGTAGCATCTATCTTGGAAATTTATTGTAGGACCATCAAGCATTTCTTGGAAATCTATTGTTGGAACAAACATGAATAACCATCACCCCAATGCACAGTGGGCCAGAAGACCTTGAATTTTGGCCAAAAGTCAAAAATTAAATTTCAACTAAGACATGTTTAGTCAGCTTTAATATCGCCCAAATTAAGTATTCATAATCATTCCAAACATTCTAGTTTACCTTTTGGACCGACAAGAGTGCAATGTAGTGAAAAATATATATATAAAATTTTTTTTAATAGAACTTTTAAATTTATATTTCAGAAATATATATATATAAATTTCACCTTTCTGTTACATTTTTATCAGAGTAATTAGTCTGAAAATATAGTACAATTTTTCAATTTGTTGAATTAGTTAATACTCTTGACAAACTTATAGTTTATATTTTATCATTTGACATTTTACAATGTTTGACTCACTTTCGAAACTTATCTCCAAAAAGTTCCACGAGGTAATTAGCTAAACTTTTTTGTTGTTGTCTTCTTTGGTGTTTCTTCTTTCGAAAAAACCTGCCCCATTTTGCCCATATTGCGAAGGTGGACTAAATATACCGAAAAACAAAAATTTTCTTTTTTTCATTTTTTCGCGTTATTTTGTATAGATATTCATATAAAATATTATTATTGTTCTAAATGAAGTTTATTTATTGTAAAAATTGCATCCTCTACTGTCTGAAATATTTGTTTTACACAATGGTTTCACTTTTTTTTGTATAGATGGCGCTGTTTTTCAATTCCTTAATATTTTATGATAATGCAATGGAGGATATCGATTCTTCTAAACGAACTATGTTATGTTTATAGTGAAAATAACTCATTAAGTTTCGGATTTAATTATTAATTTTTGGATTTAGCATCATTTATAATTTATCGTATATAAATGTATTGAATAAATACGTTTCACAGGTGAGTTACAGGTGAAATGCATAGAAATGATGCAATATTTCCATTGGTAGATCTAAACAAACATGAACTCGGACTTTGAGGTTATAATTTTAAAACAATAATTGGTTGATTTAGTCCACGGAAGATTCAGTTATGCGTCACAATGCACAAATTTAGTATTGAACTATCTTATGGAAAAAAGAAATGTAGATATAAAGATGGTAGAGTCTGATGACTTAAGTAGATTAACGAAGTCTGTGAATACATTGTTATGCAAATTCAAACAAAAATGGGATGCATCAAGTCGGATGAAAGACAGATTTCTCAAACAAAATCCGAATTGGTTGCAATCTGCTTTTAAAGTTGGAAGCTTGAGAATCAAGATTAAAGATTTAACGTCTACTTCTGCCGAGAAAAAACGTCCAGGAAGACCAAGTCTCGAATTTTATGAAAAATCGGAACGATCGAAGAGGCGAGAAATTGCTACAGTAAGTTTAGAACTTAAAAATGATCCAAATAAATGATTACAAGTGTGTCACTACGCTGCTAAAAAATCGGGAGATAAAGGTATGGTGAAATTTGTAGACAAAATTGTAAAAGATCCAGAACAGTCTGCAAAAACAAGGAAAATGTTTGATGATCCCAGGAATTTAATAGTAAAAAAAAACACCTGAAGAAGCTTTACTTTTTTTATTAAACAATTCACTTTCTAAAGCTCAGTATACAAATATGAGATTAGCCAGCATAAAAAGTGGGGCTGATATTTGGCCTGCTTATAATATTGTCAGGGAAACTAAAACTATTTGTAGACCACCATCAAGCTCAATCATTATAACTGAGACAGTTGCAGAAGTATCACTTCAAGGTTTATTAAACCACACCGTAAGCAGAATTTGTAGTTATCAGTCAGAAGTGATTCTTCAACTCATGAAAACAGCAAATACAGCCGAAACAGAAGTTTTATTATTTTGCTCATGGGGTTTTGACGGAAGTAGTGGATATTCTTCATACAAGCAATTACATAAAGAGGAAATTGATCACTTAGATGATGAGCACTTATTCGTAACTACTTTAATTACTCTTCAACTATCAAACCAAAATGGTGAGATATTATGGTATAATGGAACACCTCAATCCACAAGATTTTGTCGTCCCCCTCAAATCCTGCTAGCTGCCTCACCGTGGCGAGGGGGTGCCAATGGGCGGAATGGGCGAAGTACGTCGGGAGCGTAGCTCCTGGTAGGGCCACCCTAGGCGTGAAGGCCATTCCATTATGCCCAGCTAATGCTAGCAGGTGAATCTATGGAGCTAAATCAGTCTTCTACCTTTGGTGCTCCAGGTCACTTTAGGCCAACAGAAGCTGTAACNTGTGCATCTTAAATTATATTTAACTTTGATTGATGGCAAGGTCTTGAATATAATAACAAACCCAAAATCTGTGCAATCTTGTCCGTTTTGTCATGCTACCCCAAAATATTTTAATGATCTATCCAACATTAATACTGACAAGTTTTCTACGAGTTCATCATCATTGCAACATGGATTAAGTCCTCTACATGCTTGGATCAGAATATTCGAGTGTTGCTTTCACATCTCCTACCACATTCAATTTAAAAAATGGCAAGTCAGATCTGGTGTTGATAAAAAGTTATTTGCACAGAGGAAGATAGATATCCAGCGAATTCTGTGGGAAAATCTGGGCTTGAAAGTCGACAAACCCAAAGTTGGTGGTTTTGGGAACACAAACGATGGCAATACCGCTCGCAGAGCATTTCAAGATCCTGAAAACTTGCTGCTTGTCTCGATATCGATAAGAAATTATTGTGCCATTTGAAAAACATTTTAGTGTCTCTATCTCGTCATTTACCCATTAATCCAGATTCCTTTGAACGATATTGTTTAGCAACTGCTAAGCTTTATGTTTTTTTTTATATCCATGGTTTCCAATGTCAGCTACATTGCACAAAACTTTGATTCACAGTAGTGAAGTCATTCGATCATGTACATTGCCAATAGGTGTATTAGCAGAAGAAGCCTCAGAGGGAAATAATAAAAACTANCCATTAATCCAGATTCCTTTGAACGATATTGTTTAGCAACTGCTAAGCTTTATGTTTTTTTATATCTATGGTTTCCAATGTCAGCTACATTGCACAAAACTTTGATTCACAGTAGTGAAGTCATTCAATCATGTACATTGCCAATAGGTGTATTAGCAGAAGAAGCCTCAGAGGGAAATAATAAAAACTACAAAAGTTTTAGAGCACATCATAGTAGACAATGTAGTCGTCGTGCAACACTACAAGATATTTTTAATCGTGCAATGGATTGTTCAGACCCCATTTTATCGAGTATGGATTTGCAGGAGCGAGTTTCAAAGCAAAAGAAAGAAAATTTTTCTCCTGAGGTGATAGCTGTATTGGATTTGCCTAAAATTCCACAAAAAAATTGCGATACAGAATTGCTAGATAAAGATGGAGTAGAAAATTGGACAGATAATATGGAGTTAACAGCTTCTGAAGACGAAGATGACGGAGGTTGAATGTTGGTTACTTAAATATCGCATTATAATCACATTTTTTTATATTTTTGATAGCAAAAACAGTGAAATATTTCATTTCTTATGTTAAACAATCAATGAATAAGTAATTTCTTGATTATGTTGCTTAATTTTTATGACCGAACATTGTTTTACTAATTTTGAGTTATATTTTTTATATATTAATAAAAAATTAATTCTTTTAAGCCATTGTTATTATAGATATTATTCGAAAATATAATATGCTTTTCATTTTCAATATAAAATTACGAAAATTATTATATTTCCACTGCTATATTTAATTATTTAAAGGTTCAATATTTTTTTTTATTTTTGCTCGCCATATTTCAGCCTCCCTTTTGTTTGTTTTTCGGGTATTTTTAGTGTATTTCAAAATTTCAACTATGAATTCAATTAACCTGCACATTAAAACCCCTAAATACAAATTTTGAAACAAATTTTATCGAAATACTAATTTTGGCCACGAAACCTTGGATGCTGGCCCACTATGTGATGGTCCAACATAAGAATAACAACTTGTTTTGATGGTTTAATCATGTTGGACCCTCAAGAATTTCCCTCATGAAACTGTGGAAATCAATTGTTGGAATAATCAGGAATGAATGGAAATTCGGAATGATTCATAATGGACCAACATATATAAAGTAACTTGTTCTGATGCTTACATTATCGTGAAATTGCACATATGTGATAATGTTTTAATAAAATTGAAGGAGATGAAAAGTGTTTTAATGAAATTAAAGAAATTAAGAGAATTTGACTTCAAACATTTACAACAACACAATTGAAAACTTGATTTATTTTGTAATTAATGCAAAAAATAAGCAACGCGTTTTTTTCTAGTTAATAATTATAATTTTCTGCATTTTTATGAGTTGTATAAATATATTTTCATATGGATGTGCCATTCAAATCAAATAGTGCGTATGCTTTTCTCACATCTCCTTGCGGAAAACCTTTTTCGATAAGTTGATAAAATCCGTCTTTGAATGGCATATTTAATTTGCTTACTAATGTTTGAGCTTCTAAATTAGGAGTAGGAATTACTATGACAACTCCTTTTCCTTCTTCAAATCCCTTGAGTAGTGATTTCAGCAACGCTTCAGCAATCTTGGAATCATCTGCGTAGAGTGGTCCGATTCGCTTAGCACCAGGACAGGTTAACTTGATGCCACCATATCCAACACATCGACCCTTCCTCAATGCAATCAAGATTTTACTGTTCTGTTCTTTGAAACTCAAATCCAGAAAGGCCCGTCTCTCATAACCAGCTACTTGCAAATCATAGTCATACACAAGTTCCAAGAGCTTTTCGTCAAATCGGTGAATTGAAACGTCTTCGGGTAGATCGTGAGAGAGAAGATTGGTGTCTAGGTTTTGTGTTGAAATGAATCTCTTAATAGTGAAACCGGTGTCGAGTTGAAATCCTACAATATATTCTGAATTTTTTGCCCATCCTTCGAAGGTGAATGTGGTGAGCAGCCTGTTTTCGAGTCTGTGTCGTACTGCTTCTTTACGAATCATCTGAAGACACGAAAATGCATACATGTAAACAAAATGCTTAATATCAGGAAGGAATCAGATGTAAAATGAATACAATTTCATAAAATAAGCTTGATTTTGTGTATACAATGTATTAAAGTGCAGAAATCAGTTATTCTACATTTTATTTAATTAAAGTGCCGATTCATTAGGCTGATCCGTTAAAGCGCTATTTTATATATTTCTTAAATTATCTAGGAAATCGACACATAACCTACTAGGGTCTCGTTAATATTTAAATAAGATATTACTTTAGTACGTACCAGCAACGTTTTTATATGCTTAAATTAACATAATGTTAATTTTGTAAGTTTTCCTTTTCTAAAAAAACAAGTTACTATAATCAAACAATCAACACAGTTGATGAAATCAATCATCAATAACAATGGTAGGAGGAACTATACATTTTCTTTTTAGTTAACTGCAACTACTTTATTACAATTGTAGATAACTATAACTACTTTTTTTTTTTAAATGTAGCGACTTCAAACGACTTTCGAAATNGTAATATGTTGATCGGATTTTCACTTTTTGTGTATCTATCTTAATGGTTTGAGGGGGTGAATGCCAATATGCTAATTAATGAATGCAGACGATATTTTAAATTCCGAAATCAGACACAAAAATGTACTTTATAGTTGAATCCTGTGAAATCGAATTATGAGAAACTCAGAAAAATTAAAGTTCAATTTCTCAGGAACAACTCGACCGAATTCGCAACGAATTTCCCGAGCTTCAGATGTAGATTTTATTAACACTCGGCCGCAGTGGCATTCTTATTTCATTGCGTACGTTGACGGACCCGCGAAGAATATGCACCAATCAGATTCGATATTTTCTCTCACTATGTTACTTGATTTAACAAACGCTGAAAGTAGTTGCCAGACATCGCGACAAACTACTATTTTTTTTTTTTGAGACACTACACTACTTCTTTTACATTCACTACACTACTTCTTTTAAAAAGTAGAGCACTACACTCTACAAACAACGAGAAAAAGAGTAGTTTACAGTAGTTCCGCAGTAGTTTTAGCTCGCTACTTCCGACCACGGATCAATAACTTTAAGAACTGCTGACTCGCTCTCTCTCTCTCTCTCTCTCTTCGATATGCAAGGCAATGAATGAAACTGTTCGAAATATTATTACAATTAAAGAAATAATAATAATGATATTTACAATTAAGGAAATTATCTTAATGCGAATTATATATTTGTCACTTAAGGTGATCTTTCTATCGCACGACATTAAAAATTATTTCTCTACTGCGTATTCCGGCCGTTATTTGATTGAATTTGATATATATTTTTTTAAATCTCATCGTTTGAAATTTAATGGTTTTTTGTTTGTTTACGCGGGCACATTTTTTCTTCTCTTTAAGTTTTCTAATAGGTACTCCTTCATTAAAAGGTGATGTCTTTCACCAAAATAATTTTTCACCAAATGCAACATCAAACATAATCATCTGACAATAATAATCTAAGTGCATTTTTTTAATAATCTTATTTATCAGGGGATGTGAGAGTCATTGCTCGGTTTAACCAGCACTGATCTTTTTTTTAAGGTTAAGTGCCCCTGCTCTGTATCATTGCCCGGTATTCCCTATACTTACTGATGAGGTGAAGGGTTCATCTGTGGTCTCGAATTTTCTCACCACGATTTTTTAAGGTCTCCCTTACCAGAACTAAGGTTGTCAAAATAAAAACTACGATAAGGAAACTCCAGGTTTTGCCCATCTCAGATTAGAGTCTGCCTGGCAGACATATGCTTTAAGAGTAAGTAGGCATGCTTTTGCACTGCTTCCTCGTCGTGCACAGGGATCAGCTTACGGCTTACATTGACAGGCGGTACTTCTAGCTTACGGATCTGAGGACTAAGATTAGATTACAGCCTTGTGTACAGGAGCTGGCACCATATATATATATATATATATATATATATATATATATAATAT